CCTGACCCCCGTGGGTGTGGTGGCTGGATTCCACTGCAAATCCTCTGGAGTTCAACAGCCGTCCTTTAAAGGCCACTGTTTTCTCTCACTATCAGTTTCCTTTTGTGTTCTCCACAGGAAGTCAACACAACACCTCGTGACGGAGAACACACTGGTGGGTAGTGAGTCACGGGGGGGGCTCTGCAAAACGTATCTTTATATACACATACATATAAATTTATAAATAAATATACATTATATGTAGATATATATGTACATATATATATTTATGTATATAGGTATACATATTTTGTGTCCATATATTTTATATATGTACATATATATTTATGTATATATATGTGTGTACACATATTTTTGCATCTATACATATATTTTGTGTGTCCATATATTTTATATATGTACATATATATTTATGTATATGTGTGTGTACATATATATTTTTGTATGTATATATACATATTTTGTGTCCATATATTTTATATATGTACATATATATTTATGTATATGTGTGTGTACATATATATTTTTGTATGTATATATACATATTTTGTGTCCATATATTTTATATATGTACATATATATTTATGTATATGTGTGTGTACATATATATTTTTGTATGTATATATACATATTTTGTGTCCATATATTTTATATATGTACATATATATTTATGTATATATATGTGTGTACACATATTTTTGCATCTATACATATATTTTGTGTGTCCATATATTTTATATATGTACATATATATTTATGTATATATATGTGTGTACACATATTTTTGCATCTATACATATATTTTGTGTGTCCATATATTTTATATATGTACATATATATTTATGTATATATATGTGTGTACACATATTTTTGCATCTATACATATATTTTGTGTGTCCATATATTTTATATATGTACATATATATTTATGTATATGTGTGTGTACATATATATTTTTGTATGTATATATACATATTTTGTGTCCATATATTTTATATATGTACATATATATTTATGTATATGTGTGTGTACATATATATTTTTGTATGTATATATACATATTTTGTGTCCATATATTTTATATATGTACATATATATTTATGTATATATATGTGTGTACACATATTTTTGCATCTATACATATATTTTGTGTGTCCATATATTTTATATATGTACATATATATTTATGTATATATATGTGTGTACACATATTTTTGCATCTATACATATATTTTGTGTGTCCATATATTTTATATATGTACATATATATTTATGTATATATATGTGTGTACACATATTTTTGCATCTATACATATATTTTGTGTGTCCATATATTTTATATATGTACATATATATTTATGTATATATATGTGTGTACACATATTTTTGCATCTATACATATATTTTGTGTGTCCATATATTTTATATATGTACATATATATTTATGTATATATATGTGTGTACACATATTTTTGCATCTATACATATATTTTGTGTGTCCATATATTTTATATATGTACATATATTAATATGTATATGTCTATATATTCATCCATTATGTCTGGTTAAAAACGGAACATTATAAGAATGATCTGTTACAGTGTCGATTCACATGATGTTATTTACAGACACCGTGTGGACAAAGTTGTTATTTCACCAAAGAACCTCCAGTTCTCTCAGCGTGTGTTTGTGGAGGTTTCAACATCAGGTCAGCGGCCCGACTGAGATCACACTGTACATGACAATTAAGGCTAAGTCTTTGTTTGTTAATTTAGAGTTTAAATTCCAAACAAAATTATGTGTTAAAAAACGTCTGCATTTAATCGCAATTATTTCTCTGTTCCTCAAATTACTGGGTCCATCGTTAAAACACGTTAACGTTAACAATAAAAAGTTTAAATTTAAAATTTATCAGAGCCTCTAATTGAAGTATTTATTATAATGATATTTATTTATCGTAATTATTTTATTCTCAGGTGATAAAAACAGTGAATCAAACACATTTCAACGTTACTTTGTGATTCTGTCTACTGTAGTTTTTGCTCTCGGGGAATTTTTTTTTTTTTTTTTTTGAGTTTGATTCCCTCTTCAGGACGGTGTCTTGAACCTGGTCGGTCTTTGAAGTGTTGTTGATCTTCTCTGTGTGCCTGGTTCACAAGTTCATCGCTGTCGAATAAGGTGAAAGGTCACAGCAGTGAAACCAACACAACCACAGTCTGTGGGTCTGCACCACAGAAATGAATATTCACACACACACACACACACACACACACACACACACAGGGCTTTCCGTTCCAGTGCAATAACACATTTCTTTCCTGTGTCTTTGTGCGTCCTCCGGCCTGGACGCAGCCCCGTGCCCGGCAGAGACGTGCACTTGAACAGCAGCCACGGAGGTAATGGATCTGTGCAGCCCATTGATTGTATTGGTTTGATGCTGACGCCGCTCTGTCTGAAAGGGAGGGGTGTGCACAGAAACCCTCTTCTTTGGGGAGGAGGGCTGCTCCTCGCCCAGTGAATGGCTCCTGTGAATGGAGTGAATAGCGGCTACAAATTAACCACACACCGAGTGAAGTGACTGCCTCAGAGGGAGGAAGTCCCGCCGTCGGGAAAATAAATGTTTGGGGGGT